TTTGAGGCCCTCCAGGCCCTATGAGGTGCAGTGACGTTACGCCGCTTAACCACAGTTTTACGTGTTCATGTTGAGTACGGCTAAACCCTAAACGGCCCTAAACTTCGAGCTTGGTTTATCGATATGGCAGCTGCTTCAGCTGAAATTATAGGGGGCCTACAGGATTTGAAAATTTCAATGAATATGGGTTCCATCAGTTGTAGGTTGCAGGTCTTCGGGGTTTAGAAGTTTAGGGGCAGGCTTCAGGGGAAGCCTTCCCACACTGCGCAATCTGAGCTCAGGTTCCACCTTTGTATAGCTTCAGAGATGCTTGACGGGTTTAGGCTTCGGGCATTGTGGCGCCACTGGTTTTTCGCTTCCGGATGGTACACAGTTGCTGCCTGACTATGTCATGTCGCGATTTCCTAGGTTTGGGGGGAGAGCTGGAACCGACCTCAGTGATTGCGCCTGCTACAACTTGCAAGTTTCCGGTGGGTTTGTTCTTGCGTTGTATGGAGGAGCTGTCGCGCTAGAAGCCAAGATGCGCACATGATAGGCTTACTCTCGCAGTTGCAAAAGGGATGCTTTTGTAGGACAATAAGCTACTGCATAGGCCAGGGTTGAGACTGACGTCAAACCTAATCTGCAAAACAAAACTGTCACCATAAACCTATGAGCGACACTCTACCCGTAAATAATCTCCCCAACCTAGAACAAACCCAAATCTAAACCCCTAATGGCTCGAAACACTTAGGAGCAACACCTTAACCCCTCCTTGTACCCTCAAATAGGGGTATATGGTCCCAAGTAATGGGTACTTAGGGTCTAATAGAGGGTAGACGATGGAGGGTCTAGGTATATATAAGGAAATCATAGTAGGGAACCTCAAAAAGGGTAGGCTATTCAGGGTTAAGGCAGACCCTAAACTCAAGGAATCCAAGGGTAAAAGGAGGGACCCTTCATAAGGACCCCTAGGTATATACCCTTAATATAGCTATAATATGCCCATTATATAGCCCATTATAGGACTCCCCATTAAGGGTCCCTCCTTTTCTCCTTTGAAGAAAGCAATCCGACAGCCTCGGCTCCCAAGCCCGGAGCCCTAAAACCCAAACCCCTACTATAGGGGCCTTAAAAAATAGAGTATGGTTTTGGGCCAAATAGAATAAGGAACCCTAGGAACAATACTATAGGGGCCTTAAAATGATCAGAATATAGTTTTGGGCCATTTTATACTGTAACTTTAATACCCTAGGAATAAGATAGGTAAATATTTAGGCCTCTATATTAAACCCTTCAGCCCGGAGCCCTCTAGCGGCCGACCTGTGGATATGCCTTGCTGACTGGGACCTGAAACTAGGCTTTCAATGCTGAGCGTTTGCGGTTTAGGATGGTTTACGGCTTTAGGACTTAGGACAGTTCAGGGTTCAGGGTTTAGGGTTTCAGGGTTTGGGGTTTAGGCTTTGGGTCGATGCCGTAGAGGGTTAAAGGCCAGGGCTCCCTATGGTTGCATACGGCTTTCTCGGGCCTATCCGGATTTCTACGGCGCTGCTAGAGGACTCTGTGTCTTTCGCGGGTTTAGGGTGTCGCGTCCAAGTTCTGGGATTCTGGTTGTTTTTATCAGTTTCCGGGTTTCGGACACTTCTTGCTAGAATCTTAAACCCCGTACAGGTCAAGCATTCCTAGGCTTCCGGATCCGACTTTGCCAACATCATCTCTGGCTTTGTAATTGTAGCTTCTCTGAGATGCTCCTCTGTGGCCTAGAATACAGTATCTCACTAGCGAGCGAGATCCGGAAACTTGAACGCAAAGCCAAGCCCTCTCCCCAAACTTGTACTTCTAACCTGACCCAAAATCCTACACCTTATGCCAAGCAAGCATTCCCAGACCCGGTGGTTTGTTTTCGTATTGCCTGCGTTGTATTTAGAGTCTTGTGTCCTTTTAGCCCTTCTCCTGTCTCTTGTTGGAACGCTGAACCAAGGCTTCTAATACAACCTGGACCCTAAACCGTAAACCCTAAAGCCTTGAATAATGCCTGAAGCCTTGGAGCCCGAAACTCTTAATTCTAAATCTGAACCGAAACCCTGCAAACTCCTTGCCACAAAAAACTCCAGAGAAGAGGTTTAGGGTTTCGGGCTTTAGTGTTTAGGGGGTTTAGTGATTGAGGTTTTGCGGTGTAGGGTTTTACATGTTGAGATGGTAGAGGTTTTCGGGTTGCAAGCTTTGGGGATTATAAGACAGCGCAGCAGACGTCGAAACTCCTTTAAGACCCGAGGCTCCGACCAAGTCGTGCGGCGGCATGGCGGGATTGGAAAGCTTCCGGCTAAAAGTGCGCTTAGGATCTACGCCCTGACGGTCCAATGCAATAGCTAAGGGTCCTAATACTAGTGTATGGTATGTATTTTTTGGGGATGGGAAATGTACCTACCAAGCACCTACTATAATGGTACATGGATCCTTCGGGACAAGGTTTAGCTTTGGCACAGGAGAGAGCCGATGGGCTGAACATTCAGGATGTGGGGTTCAGGCTTCTTCGCCGTGTCGGGATTTCGGGATAAAGGGTTAGGGCACCAGGAGCCTCCTTGTACCCTCAAACAGGGGTATATGGTCTCAAATAATGGGTACTTAGGGTCTAATCGAAGGTAGATGGAGGGTCTAGGTATTGGGTGTACGAGGTAGACTTGTTCTCAGAGGGTATACCGGATCTGTCTGACAAAAACTCGTTGCGTTTACTGTGTGATCGAGCCTGTGGCAGCCATCCCCTTCCTGAACGCCCATGCAGACACGATCACCATTGGCCGCCTATCTGCTGCGTGACACCCTGTGAAAGTGGCAGATAGAGTCGACAGACAAGTGCGGATGGTCATACTCTAAACCTTCAAGCCTCAACTTGCAAACAGCTCGGCTTGCATTGGGCCCCTCGAGCATCTTTGAGCACGCCAGCCTGCGAAGTCCTCTTCAGCATCACACCCATCGTTCAAAGCCCGCGCGGCGCTTGTGGAGGGCTCAGGGTGTGGAGTTTTATTTCTGTTTGGGGGGCGGGCTCAAGCCTCAAGGTCCTAACCCTAAACCCTAAACCGTAAACCCTATATATATATATATATATATATAGATAGATAGATAGATAGATAAGGGCTTTCGGGTTTAGGGACTGGCGCCGTGTGCAGCAGCTGCAGCTTCGGGTCTCTTTCGCTCCACTCAGAACTGAAAACCGCGAGTGCCTCCAAGCTTCTCTGCTGCTGCGGAGTCCAAGAGGGTTTATATACGGGATTTATGGCTAATTTCGGGGCCTAAAATAATTACCTATGTTGTTTTTTCGGGACCCTATAGGAGGGTTTAGGGTTTTATGGGTAATATAGGCTATATTGTTTATTAAGGACCCTATAGTAGGGTTTAGGGCTTTATGGATAATACCGGGGGCTAAATAATTACTTATACGAATTATTTAAGGCCCCTCTAGTAGGTTTCAGGGCCTTACCGGGGCTGGCTAGCCATGACTGCGTCTAGGCTGGCGGGATGAGTTCATCGCCTCAGTGCACGTCTCTGCTCATCGCTGCGGCCGTCTGCGTTGTCAGCACGGATCTGAGCGCGCCTCAAAATGAGGATCTAGGATCGTGTGAGCTGCATCGTGCAGGAAACATGTCTGCAGAAAGCCAGATACTCTGCAACCGAAAGACGTTGGACGGAAGTGAGAACAATGACAGTGACCATTTCGATCCGCATGGCACCTGGAGAAAACGTCACGTGAAACAATGACCGTGTGACGTGCCAGTGAAATCAGAAACCCTCAAAGCTACATAATTGGTCACTGCCCTAGCCGGTAGTATGGCAAACCACTACGTTTGAGAACGAATAAACAAGCGTGTCTGATTAGACGAGGTTCTATATACTGTATTTCGATTATTATCCTACCCTCATGACTGATAATACGACTCGTTTCCCTATGATACTCAGCATCAGCATCAGAACCACGGATTAGTTTGGAGTTCATGCTCGCGCCTTCTAGGTCTGTGGCTCCACCAAGCTCGGAGTCTTCATCAGCCCTGTGTTCCGGCGGGCCTCCCTCTCGATCGAATCTAGGCCGATGTGTGTCCAAGTAGTCGCCAGCGTTTGGGAACTGTAATTAAGGCCCTGAGTAGCAGCAGCCGGAGGGCTTCATATCCAGCGTCTCGCGAGACCATCGTCCGATAGCTGCAGCAACATCCTGTAGCAACACCTAAGTATCCGTTTCTTCGAAATCGCAATGAGCATCTCAAGGATTCTTTCGGGAAGCCGCTGGCTTGTCCGTGGTTACGGCACAGGCGCCTGCTGTTGTACCAGTGGTGTCTAGCAGCAGCCGCACATGCCCGAGAAGCTGCAACAAATCTTGTCGGTCTTGCATTTCCTGTTCAGCCGGCTTTTGGGCAGTTCTTTCGTTGAGCTCCCTCTGTTGCCAACCTGAATCAAATCTCCATCATTTGAGACCATGCTGCGACGGTACTTCCGCAGCTTCCAAACGAAGACCTCAGTTTCAGAGGACTGGATGAGGGCTTCGTCACACTCCTCTTTGAGACGGTTCATCATGTTTCTAATGTCGGGATCCCGCTATAGGAGCCTTAATAAGAAGACTAGCGTTTTGGGGCCCATCCCCCAACATAGTATTGGTAATCAATGGCCCCTATATTACTTCACTGTAAACCGTCTCATCTTCGGCTTCCTCTGCTGCAGTGCTCCTTGTGAGCGAAAAATGGGGGGGGGGGGTTCCGAACATAGGGGACCCAAATATAGTAGCCTATAACCTGTCGGATTTTGTTTACAAGCTAAATATTTACAAAGGACTCCAAATAATTGGCAAGGCGCTCGTAGCACGGCATCAAGAGCTGTAGGGCGATGGAGCAAAAGGAGCCAACTCGTGGTGGAGCGCGGGCAAAAGTAAAACGTCTGTGGTGGTTGGCCGTGTAGGTCCGCATTTTTGATGTCAACCCGGGCCTCCCTATCGTGCCATGTCTCAATCGCAAAGAAGCAATCATCCAGCGTTGCCATCATCCAGCGTTCATCTGTGCAGCGATGATCATGCTGTAGAGCTGCGTGTCGACAAGCGCGGACAACTCCTGGCACAAGTGACGCAACAGGCACGGTGGCGTCTTAAGCCGGGAACCTTGAAGTTGAGCTACCTGAAAGCCTTACATATAATGTGGGATCTCCATACTTTCACGGGCTTACTTTACGCCTCAAGACGTATATCTACTATCCAAACACTCATGAAATGCATTCTTGCCCGTGCGGTCGTAAATAACTACCATACAGACATGATGTGATCATGCAGGCAGAGAATGGTGGTTCAAAAGCTGATGGCCACGGCGATAGCCGTGAGGACGATGATGGGTATGCTGGGGATGACGACGACGGTGACGATTACTGTGGCGGCGTGGAGGCAAAAGCATTGAATATCATATCGAAGGTGAACTAGCGCAGCCGCCACCAACACCACAGCAGGCATCGTCACAACCACTACTACAACTACTACTACCACTACCACCACCACCACCACCACTACAACTACCACTGCCCTTGCTCCTTCTCGTGTCGCTGCTCCTGCCACTGCTACTTCCACTCCCTCTCCTACTCCTAGTCCTCCTATTAGTATTACTACTACTACTACTACTACTGCTGTTGCTGCTGCTGCTGCTTATACTTGTGCTATTCTGCTAATACTGCTATGTACTGCTGCAACTGCAACTACTACTGCTGCTGCTTCTTCTGCTACTGGGGACTAGTGCTAATACGGCTAACTCTGCTGCGACGCCGTAGTTACTACTACTGGTGCTGCTGCGATCGCATCCAGAACACTATTACTGCCATCACTACTGCGACTATATGCCCGCGACTACCACCATCTGCATACAAGCCGAACCGTTTTGTGTCGGGTAAACACGGCACTCAACTGCTTTTTCAAGACCTTGATCCAAGCACATCATGCAGTCATACAGTCCCCAAAAGCAATGCCCCACACCCCAGCTGAACCCAATGCCGTCCGCCAGTGTGAGGGCAAGCAAGCAAGCTCGCTGCCACTGGTGACCCTGTGGTTTACGGGTGCTTACCCACGGGCCCCAAAGTAGTTCCTTTGGGGTTAATAAATAGAATTCTATGAGGTACTCCCAAAAAGGAACTACTATGGGGGCTTATGGGTAGGGACTTCGGAGTTTGGGTGTGGGGCACGGGCGAAGGCTTCGAAGCTTCGGCTGTGGATGTGCTTTGTTTTAGTTTTGCACATACATGGGCTTGGCACGTACTTCAAACATGCGCTACCCAGGATTTTAGGGGTTACCTTAATCCGGAATAACCTACATTTTTAAGGACTCGTATAAGGAAATCATAATAAGGAACCCTAAGAAGGTAGGTTATTCGGGGTTACGGTAGGGTTTAGGTTCATGTGCCTTTTGCTCCGCAGGACCAGGACATGGAGATTAGGCAACAAAAGACGCAATGGAACCTTGATCTCTGGGAGTGCTTCAATGTTTATGGCTGCAAGTTGACTGGGGCTAATTGGACCAGGATGTGGGGTCAGGATTCCGGGTTGCCTTCCAAAGGAACTCCTAATGCCAAGAACGCCCCCCGCACTCATCCGAACAGCTGTGCTGTGCCATGCCCTGTACCCGATGGCGAGGCGGCCTGACAGCATGCCGCGCAGGCCATCCGCATCACACGTGTGTCCACCACCTCGCTGGCCGCTTCCTGCGCTTGGCAGAAAAGGCTAACGGCAACCCTACTTGGGGATCCAAAACCCCGGTCTTGTAGGGAGGTTATACCCCTGCGTAGAAGGCGTCATAGCCTCCTGGCGTAGGGTTTGAGGGTTGCAGGTCGGATGTGGGATCGAGTTTGCCGGGCCTTAAACACTCAACCCCTAGACCATGCACCCTCAACCCTGAAGCCTACCCTGAGCCCCAAACCCCTAACCCTGAACCCCAAACCCTAAACCCTAAGCCCCTGAACCCGAAACCCTTTTGAGGGCTTGAGCCGGCTCAGGCCCTTCGGGTGCAAGAAGACTCGAGCTGCAACCCTTCATGCAGACGCACGAAAACTTCGCAGGGTTTAGGGGGCTTTAGGACTTAGACTCGCAGTAGTGATGAGGATAATCATGACAGTTAAAATATATGAATAGTAGTTTAGGGTTGCAGGGTTTAGCTTTCTCCCTCAAAAGTGAGCTGAGCCTGGGTAGAAGAAGGTTGCTATATAGCGCTTTGTGTTGAATCCGCAGTACACAGTAGCTGCCACAAAGCTGGGAACTTCACGAATGCCATTTGGGATGCCACAGCGAATTCGGAACCGCCACCCTCGCCCGAGCCCTGTCACAAGTCAACCCCCGAGACACAATCGCCTGCACTGCAACCCCCCGTGAACCCCAACGACCCTAAACCCGAAATCATGCTCCCTAAACCCGAAATCATGCTCCCTTAGTCTCTACATATATTTGTCCTCCAAGAACACGCCAAAGCCCTGCTCTTATCATTATTATTATCATGAATTTGTTCTGATTACTACTATTACTATTGTTGCTATCAGTGTATTGCGATTATTTCTCCTATCAGGACTATTACCATCATTATTGTTACTTATTGTTTCTTGTTATATCTAACTGGTATTATTGATAGTATGACTACGATGATTACTATTGTGACTATGATTGACTATTAATTCATTCACTTTCGAATTAACTACTTGCAGATGCTTGATGAAGCATTTAGTTAGAATGATGGTTGCTTAAATATGATTAGTTATTTAGTTGGTGAATTAGTATGTGGGAGCTTCCGAAAATGGGGAAGCCCTTCTAGTCCCTAGATAGTAGGAATATAAGGCCCCTAGAATAAGGTACCCCTAACCCTAAGGCTCCAAGTAGTTCCTATTTATGGTTTTTGGTACCTAAAAAGGCCCTAAAGTCCTATAATAGGGAGTACTTGGACCCTCTGGGTAATTTTCGGAAACTCCCTATATCATTGATCAAAGCCCCCGTGCTCGCCCTCCACTCCTCGACTTCGAGCATCCGTAACGCTGCGGTCCACTCGGAGGCAGCACCGCACGCAGCCATGGCCGCAGCGGCCGCACCACCTAAAAACCGGAGTTTAGGGTTTAGGGAATTAGTGGTTTAAGGTTTAGGGCACTCGACGTTAGGAATGCTGACGTCGATTTTCATCCGGACTTACAGCTCAGGCTTTTGGACCTCCAGTAGGCATTGGGGTTGTCCTCAGCTTTGGGATGACCAGTAACCGAAGAAATCAAACAGATGGCATAATGGCGACAAGACCCAGAACCCTAAATTATACATCCCAAGCCCTAAGCATCCTAAACCCTAAACCCGTAAACCTCAAATCCTGAACCCCAAACCCTAAATCCTGAACCCAGAACTTTTCGCAATGTCCCCGACTCAACCCCAAGAGCCCGACATCCGAACCCCATGAAACCCTAGCTTTCTGTACGTAAGCACTTTTCCAACACACCCCTTGAAGCAGCATATGCTAAATATTCCAAACATCACCACCATCATAAAACCACGAGACTGATACTAGTAAATGAGAGTCCCGAGAAGATCCCATCAAAGGGTGCTCCAGACGGGCCGCTGTCGGAACGCTCCAACGCGTGGAGCTCCGCAAACCTCGGAGGGGGAAAAAAAAACCGAGTGTTTAGGGCAAGTTTAGGTGTTTAGCGCTATTCGGGCCTGTAGGGTTCTAGGGGCGTAGGCATTCTAGGGCAGAGGGTTCCGAGGTTCGCTGGCTTACGGGGGTTTCGGGGTCAAGGGGGCTGAGGGCTTCAGGGCTGAGGAGCTTCGAAGGTTCGGGCTTCTGGTCCCCTAGTACCCAAGTAATCTACACCTACTTGTCGGGTATCATGGGGAAGTCAAGGTTAACCTTTTTGGTTATATAGGGGTTATATAGGGACTATACTACCCAAAAAAGGTTAAAGGTTACTTACTCTACTACTAGGTACAGTAACAAAATGCACCAATCCCTTGACCCACGAAAGGAACCCCCGCTAATGTAAACACTTCCGGATCCAGAGCTTGTCGCAGTTCGTGAGCATGGGCATCCGTGTCCTTCTTGGACCCGATGGTACGGGAGTGCTGGAGTTGGCGCTCCGACGTTAAGCCATGCACAGTGTACTTTGCGAGGGTTGTCCACCCCTCCTCGTCGGTGGATTTCTGAATGTGAGGGTCGGTCTGCGACTGCCTCGTTCCATTTGACCGGGGCCTCGTCGTCTGTCCACCCCCACCGATCCTTGCCAAACCGGAAGAACCTGGGAGTGGAGCGATGTTGCCAACAGCAAAAAATCATACTGTCTCATGCCCCCCGCCCCTAGGCTCCCCTCCCTTTAGCATATAAGCCCGGGTGATCCCACCAAGGGGCTAGGCTAGGCAATGCAACGGAACTTTTATCCCCCAACTACACACCGATTTCCCAGATTCAGCCGCGAATAAGCTCGGATTTCGCTGTTTCGGGCCCAGAGTTGAAAGTTAGTTAAACACAGTAAGAGGCCCTAGGATTGTATTAGGTTTAATAGAGTCAAGAGTACAGCACTACTAATCAAGCCGAAAGGACCAGAGCTTTAGGGTTTGGGGGCTTAAGGGCTGAAGGTCCAGGGGTTAGGGCTTTAGGGCTCAAGGTTTAGAGCTTTGGGCTGTAGGGTTTAGGGCTCAGGGTTTAGGGCCACGCAGCCGGAACGTCTGCATAGGAAACCGTCGTTGTTCGATCTGACTGTCTGGCTCATAATTACTACTGTCAACCCGACTCATTAGGGGGAGAGTATGATGAGGGTCCCTAACTTCGCAAACCACAAGCCCTAAACCTAACCTCCCTGAATGGTTTAACTTTGGGGTGCTGATGTGCATAGTCCCCTGTACCCGTTCGGGGTTCCCGGTCCCAGCTCTGGAGTGGGTTCTAGCTGCGCCTGACTAGTAGGGCTTGCAGTTTCGGAAACCAGAGGTGCCTCATATGTATAGACGTAGTTGTAGTAAAGTACCCATAGGCTCCATACTAGTTCCTCTTTGGGGTTCATATTTAGAATCCTATAAGGTAATCCCAAAAACGAACTACCATGGAGCCTCTGGGTAGGTGTAGTAGCGGTTCTCTGTTGAGGGTTGCCGCCGAGGCTTGCTGGGCGGTTTCGAGATTCCTGACCCAAAGGGTCCTATGTACTGTTCTGGGGGATAATTCCTAATATGGAAACCCTACATTCTACTATATCGGTACATAGGACCCCTTGAATGAATCATCCCACTACTAGGGGAGTTTGAGCTTTACGAGAACTTATTCCATGCTTTCAGCATGTTGCTCCTTGCACATTGCCAGGCATCATAACAATTGACGAAAGTACGCCCTCGACAGCTGAATCTGTAGATGCTTAGGAATCGGATTCAGTAGCAGTCGCACGGAGGGGTACCCTGAACCATAAACCTTGAGTCCCAAATCCCACACCTCTCAAAACGAAACTCCCAAAAAACAAAACCCAAATCCTAAACCCTGAAAGCCCTAAACCATGAAGCTGAAGTCCTCAATCCCCTAAGTCCCCAAAACATCCAAAAACCATACTCCCAACACCCCAAGCCTAAATCCTGAACCCTAAAGCCCGAAGCCCTAAACCCATAAACCTAAGTTCCAAAGACCAAAACCTAAAATCCTAAAAGCCCTAAGCCCAAAACCTACACACGAAAAGCACTACGCCCCCTAAAACCTAATCCCTTAAACCCCAAACCCCTAAACCCCTAAACCCTAAACCCCTAAACCCTAAAATCCCCAAGGCCCCTAAATCGTAAACCCTAAAAGCCCTAAAGCTCAACACCCTAAACCAACAGGCCTCAAACCCTCACCTCAGAATCCTGAGAGGCCCTAAACTCTAACAGCCCTTTAACCCTAAAGCCCCAAGAGGCCCTAAACCCGAAAAAGCCTTAAACTCTAAAAGCCCTAAAACCCCCAAAAGCCCCCTGAACCCTATCCCTGGTCAAAGCCCTAAGAGGCCCTATAAACTCAAAGCCCATGCAGGCGCAAAGCAATGCCAGCGCTTCCCGCCAGGAAGAGGCGGCCCCGTGAGCTGTCAAGGCAGCCTGGACAGGGATCGCTGCAGGGCGTTTAAAGGGATGATTAGGGGCTCCTTTAAGGGGATGTATAGGGGTTCTAGAGTGGCTCCTTTAAGGGGATGTATAGGGGTTTCATTAGGGGTTTCTTTAGAGGGATCTATAGGGGTTCCTTTAAAGGGGATGGACAGGAATCGCTGAGGGTTTAAAGGGATTGATAGGGATTCGGAACCCCTTTAAAAGGCGATCTGTAAGGGATCTATTAGGGTTCTATAAGAATTCGTTTTAAAGGGATCTATAAAGTTACTTTAAACGGGGATCTATAAGGGATCTATAAGGGTTCTATATGGGGGTTTAGGGTTCCTTTAAGGGTTTCTGACGGATCTATGAGGATTCCTTTGGGAGGGGTTAAAGGGATCTATAAGGGTTCTATAAGGATATCTACAAGGGTTCTATAAGGGTTCTACAAGGGGATCTATAGGGGCAGCTTGGAGAGGACCGCTGGGGATGCCATGGGGTTTAGGGTTCCTTCAAGCGTTTCTTTGAGGGTTTCTGCAAGGCTTCCTTTAAGGATTTCTTTGAGGGATCCTTTAAAGGATCCTTTTAGGGTTTCTTTACGGGTTCCTTTGAGGATTTCTTTAAGGGATCTATAAGGGCTTTGGCTGGGGATTTGGGGCTTCGGGTTTCGAGGTGTAGGGTTTAGGGTTTTTGGGTTTCGGGCCCGGAGCTGAGGGTTTAGGGTTGAGAGCCTAGGGTGTAGGCTGCAGAGTTTTTCCACAACGGTTTCTTGAATTTAGACCTGTAAGTTTAACGTTTAACGGTTGGCCCTGGGGTTTAGGGTCTTGGGGTTCAGGGTCTGACAACGATGATGAAACCAGCACCGATAAAGACGCAACCAGAAAAACTGCTTCAGTTGTTCGTGGTAATGTTTAAGTTGCTGTTACCGTTCGAAACAATTCTAACACTTATTTATCGTTATTTCTACTTCTGCACTGACAGCGGTTACACCAGAGGCAGTGATGACCAAAGCAGCAAACCCTGAATACGTATAGTATCATAGAAGACACAGTTGTGACGGTTCGCTGTACAGTACAACCGAAACCCTGCTCTATGCATAATACGGTATACTTCACAAAATAGGACAGGATCCTGTGAACACCGACGAGCCGTAAGAGCACTGATGTCAATACATGTGTGTATATATAACTGTGTATATATATATATACACACACCTTTTTTACATACATATGCGTACATATACATGCATCATACACTGCTCCATGTGGGTAATATGTTTAGGAAGTTATCTGCGTGGGGATTTGATCTCGATTATGTTGCTGCTCTCCCCACCAGAGCTGTAATGAATATAGGTGTGGCTGGCTTGCACTCTCCACAGACTGGGACCCTGTCTCTCTCACACTTCCACACGTGCAATCCTATGCAGGCAGAACCGGCGGCCGTTCCTTTTGCACTCGCTGCCGGCGGCGGTTCGTCTGTGCAACGGGATAGCTCTGATTGCTCAGGATAGAAAACACATATAGCACTTAGCTATGGGCATTGACTTGAGCCAAACGTTGCGTGGGCGGTCACATAGAAAGGTAAAGATGAGGGACGCGTAGCGTGCCCCCTTAGAGTCGAGGGACGCGTAGCGTGCCCCCTTCTCTTGCACTTTACACGGTCTTGCTCACAGCTCTTATAGTGACACCTTAGAACTTGACAAGGCATCGCCGTCCGTTCGCACCCCCCATGAGTTGCGTCTCCGACGCTGCTCACCCGGAAGATGGCACGATAGGACAACAGAAAATGTTCCGCCGCAACGTTGACATTGAAAATCAGAGCTTTGCATCCCAATTAGAAACGTTGTGACACTCATCTACGTCAGTAACGATCCCCTGAAATGGCAAACGAATCAGGCGTCACCGAAGAAAGAAGCATTCGCGATGGCATTCCATGGGCGAATCTCAGAGGTCACGAACTGATAGGCGAGGAAGACCAAGCGTTGATTCATCTCCATCTTCGCGTGGTCGCAGGATCGCGGTCCCAGGGCCGGAGGTTTTCCTCTGGATACTGTTCCCTTTGCTTTCCTTTGTCCTTGCCTTTGTTTCGGCCTTTGCCGGCGGTGTAGTCGTAGTAGGAATTGGAGTTCCAACCTCCATGCTGCTCACCTCCGGTTCTCTCACGCCCTTTTGAAGGTCCCTTGGCCGAAGAAGCGCTTGCACGTTCCTCCGTAGTGACAGGCGTGTCCAGGATGGAAGTACCACCCGGAGGGAGATAGTCAGCGGCCGAGATGTGATGTAGGGCTTCAGTACGTTTGGTTGTCGGATTTTGCTGTCTCTCAGCCTTGGATCTGACCAATCTGTCCATGAAATGCGCAGGCATTTGCACATTGTGGTCCACCAGCAATCCAATGGTCTGTACTGAATGATCGGCGTGAGTCAGCAGGATACCGACAGGGTCGATGTACAGGAAGTCCACCGGTCCAGTTGGCGTTGGTCGTAGCACTGAGAATTGTTGGTGTCCTGTCACCATCGGAATCACTTCGCACAGGACGTTCAGGCAACAGAAGTGCATAGCCTTCACATCTTCATCCCTGTTGCTCTTCAAGTACGTAGTAGGGTTGAAGTTGTCCCTGCCACTTCCCATCATGTTGGCTCCCCGTGTAAGCAACGAAAGCATCTGATTCGTCCGGAAGCGCTTCAAAGTGTAAGTCCCGTTGGGATCGTACTGCTTGAGGTTCTCAGGCTCCTTGGCAAAGCGAATGATCTCCTCGTCAGTCACATCCCTGCCCACACCCGTTTCTCTGTCCACTCCAGCCAAAGATCCCCACTTTCCGAGCACATCATAGCGTTGGCCAAGTGCGAAATTCTCCTTCATCTGGAATAACGGCATAGTCGCCCACTTCGCGAATCCTGACCAAGCCTTGTAGATGGTTCTGCACACCACGAATGCCATATACGAAAGAGCGGCCATGTTGGCGTCGATGCAATGGGCATTTCGCTTTCCTGGGTAGTAGGATGGCTGCATGGCGGTACGTGCGAGTTGTAGTTCAGGATCGATGTTCAAAGACTGGCCGGCGATGAGGACGGGACGTCGTTCCTGTGCAACTGCATCTGGTACTGCGTCATCAAAGTCCTCTCCTGGCTCTGTGTCCATTTCTTCATCAGGTTCCTGTTCTGGATCGTCCTCCGCGACGACAGATGGTTCTGGGATTTCCTCAGGTTCCGCAACGGTCTCTGTCTCCATGGCTTCCTGCTCCTCGACGGTCGCCTCAGGCACTGCTGCTGCCGCGGCTTCCATTGTCTGAGCAATGAAGTCACTGGGGATCTCCGTAGGAGTCTCCCGTTGTGGAGAACCTTGGTAATATCCGCTAGAAACGAATTGTGACCAGCAAGACGTGCATCGGGAGAAGCATGCTGGAACGATGTTGTAGCATGCCGGGCACACCCTCATTCTCCTTCCATCTTCGTCTCTGCGTAGGTCTTCGGGTCGCCAATTCTTGATGACAAACTTGATCCCTTTGTCCATGTAGTGATGCCGAACCGTGTTCTCCCTGTGGTACTCCAGGACAGTCGTAAGGTCTCGAATGATCTGCTCCTTGCTGGTGTCGTGGGGTCCAGGAGGCATCTCGCAAAGCAATTCCATGATCTTGCTTGGTGTTCGGTATCTCTCGAACTCAGGGAGCAAAGGTGATGCATTGTAGTCCAACACCATCTCTTTCTCCAACCGTTCATCGTAGATCTTTTCCACCAGAGCGACAGAGTGTGTATCTTGAGGATTCGGGACGCAAAACCATACCTCCTTGACGAACTGGAACGGTATCGTTCGGCCAACGATGATGATGCCGCTGTCTGTGATACGTCCATCTTCTCTTGCAAGGTCCTGCGAAGGGACATGGAGGACCGCCAGCGGCATGTGCTTGGCTTGTGGTCCATGTACCCGCATCTTGGTCGTCGCATTCCGGTGATCGAACGGTGCGAATACCCCCCAATAGCTGTGGAGTCTGCCGCCTTGGTTGCCTCGAAATTGGCGCCTATTGTCGAAGTCCCCGTCGGGGTCCTCCGAACCAGGCATGATGCCTTGCGTGACAATGGAATCCAGGTTGCGGCATGCCGTAGCGTGGAACGCGCCTCCAAGACGTTGCAAGAGGGTCATAGATGGAGATATTGCGAACCTGTTCTTGTCCAACTGAAGCAAATTGTTCTGGGGATCGGAGTGCGCAGAGTGACCACTCGTAGCCCGAACTGCCCATGGCTTTACCCAGCCGTTGCAAACGTTCAGGTACCTCTGGCTGTGCCGGCAACGATCATTGTTCTGGATCTCTGTGATCTGGTCAGGAATCGATACCAACATGTTCGCGCCTGCGGATCCAAGAGTCTCCGTGCCGGGGTCCTTCACTCTCACTCCCAGGAACTGCAGCCGAATCTTGGCCTTGTGGCGTCTCGTGGCTGCGAGCATGTTCCCTTGGAACAATAGCTGGAGCCTTTCATTGTACACTCTCTTCCTCTGTTGATCATCGGTCCTTGAGACCGCTTCTGTGATGCGTCTGCTGTCATGGGTCCATAGTTGCTCATGCCTCACCAAATCCTCGATCAGCACCCACCCTCCTTCATCACATCGAATGACGCTGCTGAATGCCACTTGGCACCTGTTGTCAAGCCATTCCGAGCCTGGGCGCCTGGCGATTCTGTGACGCAGGTCAGATTGAATGCATGACAGCGCCCAATCCGCGTTCCTTCTTCGATGATGGGTGATGTTGCGAAGGACAACTTCGTTCACGATGTCCCATCGATTGTGGATGAAGCTTGCGCCCTTGGTTGGGATCAGGTCGAGAATCCCGCATCGGATTGGCCTTCCGCCGCCGATGGATTCGTAGCCTGCATTGGTGTAGCCCTGAATAGTATCATCATATTCAAAGCTAGGACGGTCTCCTCGTTGAGGTAGGCGTCGGTCGCGATGGTCCGAAAGCTGCTCAATGAGGTCCACCCCCCGCTGACTGTTCTCTGGTCCCATGTCCTGCAGCGGCACACCAC